GCCACGAAACGTGTGAGGGGTGTGCCGAATTGGGTGTGCGGGACGCATGCGGGCGGCAGCACTGGGGCCTTCGGTGGGGCTCCCTATGGGGCCACGAAACGTGTGAGGGGTGTGCCGAATTTGGTGTGCGGGACGCATGCGGGCGGCAACACTGGGGCCTTCGGTGGGGCTCCCTATGGGGCCACGAAACGTGTGAGGGGTGTGCCGAATTGGGTGTGCGGGACGCACGCATGCGGGCGGCAGCACTGGGGCCTTCGGTGGGGCTCCCTATGGGGCCACGAAACGTGTGAGGGGTGTGCCGAATTGGGTGTGCGGGACGCATGCGGGCGGCAGCACTGGGGCCTTCGGTGGGGCTCCCTATGGGGCCACGAAACGTGTGAGGGGTGTGCCGAATGGGTGTGCGGGACGCATGCGGGCGGCAGCACTGGGGCCTTCGGTGGAGCTCCCTATGGGGCCACGAAACGTGTGAGGGGTGTGCCGAATGGGTGTGCGGGACGCATGCGGGCGGCAACACTGGGGCCTTCGGTGGGGCTCCCTATGGGGCCACGAAACGTGTGAGGGGTGTGCCGAATTGGGTGTGCGGGACGCATGCGGGCGGCAGCACTGGGGCCTTCGGTGAGCTCCCTATGGGGCCACGAAACGTGTGAGGGGTGTGCCGAATTGGGTGTGCGGGACGCATGCGGGCGGCAGCACTGGGGCCTTCGGTGGGGCTCCCTATGGGGCCACGAAACGTGTGAGGGGTGTGCCGAATTGGGTGTGCGGGACGCATGCGGGCGGCAGCACTGGGGCCTTCGGCGGAGCTCCCTATGGGGCTACGAAACGCTGTACTGGGCGGGTGAAACGCAAGGAAGAGGGGGAGGAGGGAGGAGGAGGGGGAGGAGGAGGAGAGGAGGAGACGCGGGGCACCGTCTCTTCAAAACGAGGACCCAACACCACAGGATGGTTGGGAAAAACCAAGGATGCGCGCGCCCAAACCTGCCAAGGGTGACCAGGGCCCAAATCTGCAAGGGGCAAGAGGCCCTCGTGATAAGGGTCCACCCTTAACGCCGATTGTGCCTGTAATTACGGGGTGCAAGGTAGCCAGACTTCTCGACCACTGCCCAAAGACATGTCTTCCTACGCGGACGCTGGGAGATGGCCTCCACACGCCGATGATTATGTGAGGCCTCCGCCCGGATGTTGTCAATATCGTTGACTGTCAGAGCAGGGCGACGTGGGACAACGGGAGCCCCAAGTGGGTCTCCAGACACCTCCTGGGGTCCAAGCGCGCAAATTTCCCAAGCTACGTCCAGCCGTGGCGACGAGCCCCCTGAAGGCCAACTGCCGCTGTCTCAGCCCACCTTCCTCTGGGATGCTGTCCGTACTTTGGACGGTTGGACAACCCCGACAGCCGACGTCTTGTTTTTTTCTGCGCGCGGCCAAAGAAATCCCGACCCCTCCCCCCGGGGGTGGTTTGTCACCCCCGATCCGTTTCTGGTGGCCCCGGGGCCCGACAAAGGCCCTGGAGGGCCAAAATCGAGGAAACAACGCCGGGATTGAAAAACACGTGTCGTCGGTGATGTGGGAACCTCGGAGAGGCCCCGTACGGCACGGCCCACTGGGATCACCGCGGTCGTTGCGAAGCGGGTGGTGGGCTACGAGTGGATGCTGAGGTGAGTTCTATCTGACCTCACCAAGCTCACATGTGGGTAGGAAGTGCCGTGGGTGGCGGGGGGGGGGAGGCAGATCGGGACAGAGAGAACCCACCTTCGAATCTAGCTGCTTCTCTCTAGCTGGCAACACGGCGACTTGCTGCGCGGGCCACGATAGGCGGCGTCAGCTGTGATTCCCGCAGTGGCGGTGTGGTGTCGGGATGGTCTCCCGGTCGGCCGGCCCCGCCGGCCCCGCCAGGGCCACCGCCCCAGCGGAGGGCTCTGAAGCCAGACGGGGGGGCGCGGGAACCGCGCCTCGGGCAGGCTCAGGGGTTATGTCGCTGTCTGCCCACTTCCACCCCCCCCGCCCACTTTGCAACCACGGCGGGGCTTGGCGGCGCGCAGGGGGGTATGGGGGAGGGGGGGAGGCTTCTTGGAAGGAGGTTGCTTCTTAGAAGGCGCCTACATCTAGAGAGAAGGCCCGCGCCTTCCAAGCAGTAGCCTCCTCCTAAGAAACCTTCACCCCTCCCCATGCCCCCCTCTGCGCGCCGCCAACTTGGACGCCCAAAATGGGTACGGAAATAACGGGTACGATGCCCAACAGCACATGTTGTCCAACACCGACAGCGGCCGCTGTTGGGCAGGCGGCTTCGTGACTTCAGTGAACAACGCGTCCGCGGCGGCGCGGACAGCGAGCCTTGCTCATGAACAAGAACGGCTGTTGGGCACCGCACCCCTTCCTTCCGTGCCCCTCTCGATCGTCCCGAGCACAACGGCCAAGGACGGCCGCGCGCCGACGACGGCCAAACGCCGACGACGGCCAAGGGCGCTCCACGCACGACGGCCAGACGCCGACGGCGGCGGCGGCGGCGCCTGTATGCAGCTGGGCCGGCCGCCCAGCGGGCAGAGCAGCCCGCACGCGCCCACCGCCCGCCACGCCAGGCCTGGGCCCCCCCCCCCCCCAATGGGGGGCCGCCGGCGCCTCCCCCGCCGTCCTCGCCCTCCGCCCTCCGCCCTCGGCGGCGCGCGCGGGGGGGGGGGAAGGGCGAGGGGCAGGGGGGCGCCCTCCCGGAGGGGCAGGGACGCAAGCCTCAGAGTCAGGTCGGGCAGGCCCTCCTGCAGGGCGGGCTTTGGAGGAGAAGCTGAAGTGCAGTCAAAGCATGCTCTCAACAAGAGTTCAACGGGCACAGACAATCGCCACCGTACGATTTGAAAACTATTCCTGGAGATTCTTCCTGTAGAGGGACATGTCCGACTGAACCTTAGAGGCGACGGTCCAGTCCGGTTCGTGCGCGTGCGTGTGTCTCTGTGCGTGTGTGTGTGTGTGTGTGTGTGTGTGTGTGTGTGTGTGTGTCGCGCTCTGGCCCTGCGCGCCTGGCTGCTGCTGCCCTCCCGTGTTGCTCATCGTCGAACTCTTCGGCGTCTGAGCGTCCCTTCTTCCTCTCGGCCGTCCCCCTCTCCCTCCTTGCACGCCTGCCAATTCGCCAGTTATTGCCCCTTTCTAGCTTCTCGTTGGAGCGAAGTTCGCCGCCTTGCTGCTGACGATATATAAACACACGTATATATGTGTTATATGTATGGATGTATGCATGGATGTATGTATGGATGTGTGTGTGTGTATGTATGTGTGTATGTGTGTATGTGTGCATGTGTGTATGTATGTATGTATGTATGTATGTATGCATGCATGCATGTATGTATGTATGTATGTATGTGCATGTATGCATGTATGCATGTATGCATGTATGCATGTATGCATGTATGTATGTATATATGTATGTATGTATGTATGTATGTATGTATGTATGTATGTATGTATGTATGTATGTATGTATGTTTGCACGTGCATCCGATCCTTATATTCTTATTCCCCGGACCCCCCCTAAACCGGACACCCCCCCCAGGACACCCCAGACGCCCCTGCCCTCTACCCGACGAACGCCCTGGACGCCCGTTCGGAGTCCCGGCGGCCTTCCGGGCAGTTGGACGCCCCTGACGATCAGAGCCCACGGCCCATCAGCGCTCAAAGAGGACCCACTATGGTTTCAAGACGGCCCACGAGGCCCCCAGGACGGTCTAAGAGGCCCCAAAAGGGACCCCCAAGAGCCAACAATCATCCCATTCCCTGAGGAAACGTACGTTTTTGAATATCTTAGCTTTTTCCGCTTTCACAACGTCCAAGCATCCCCAGAGACTCTCAAGATCGCCCCAGGACGGCCTCCGATGCCTCTATGAGCGGCCCATGGCGGCCCGAAAGAGCTCCAAGACGGATCAAGAGAAGCCCAAGGCGGCCCAAGAGGGGCCCCAGAGGGCCCCGAGAACTCCCAAGAGAGCTCCAAAAGAGCCAAAGGAGGCCCCCAAGAGTGTCCCAAGAGGGCCCCCGAAAAGCCCCTGGCCAGCCCGACCTCCTAAAACGGCCAAAAGAGGGTTCTGGGACGGCCCAAGAGGGCTCCAAGACGGCCCAAAACAGCCCCAAAAGGAGTCCTCTGGTCCGGAGAGTCACCAGGACCTTAGACGCGAGCCCACACCGTTCCAATATAGCTTCCAGCAGTTTTCTTACACTCCATGAGGCCGTAATTCGCAGGACGGTGGTTCGAAAGGACCTCAGAAGCCCCACAAGCGTCCAGGACCCCTCGAGGCATTCAGGAAGCGACCAATCGTCGCCGCCGCCGTCGTCGTCGTCGTCGTCGTCGACGTCGTCGTCGTCCTACGGAAGGAGGTCTCGACCTGTCATCGCGGGCTGCCGCCTCATTATTGCGTAGCCCGCTTGCTGACGCCCCGAGCGCTCGCTCCTGCGGCCTGCCCGAGAGGAGGAGCAGGAGGAGCAGGAGGAGGAGGACGACGACGAGGAAGGGCCAAGTTTCTGAGCGCTTCTGGTCCCATCGGGAGCTTCCAGAGGCCCTCGAGAGACGAGCGCCCCATCTGCAGTTCAGACGAGAGCCCCACCGTCGTCGTCGGCGTCGGCGTCGTCGTCGTCGTCGTCGTCGTCGTGGTAGTTGTGGTGGTGGTGGTGCTGGTGGTGGTCCTCGTGATCGTGGTCGTATTCGTGGTCTCGACGCCCCCTCTGCTGAAACACGCGATGACTTCATGCTTTTTCCGAGAAGCGTCTGGAACAAGGCGCATGACGCGAAGCGCCAATGCAGTCTTGTATGTATGTATGAATGTATGTATGTAGGTAGGTAGGTAGGTAGGTAGGTAGGTAGGTAGGTATGTACGTATGCATGTTTGTATGTATGTATGTATGTATGTATGTATGTATGTTTGTATATGTGTATGTATATGTATATGTATATGTATCTGTATATGTATATGTATATGTATATGTATATGTATATGTATATGTATATGTATATGTAGATGTATGTGTACATGTATATGTATATGTATATGTATATGTATATATATATGTATATGCATAGGTACATGTATATACATATATATATATATATGTGTGTGTGTGTGTGTGCGTGTGCGTGTGCGTGTGCGTGTGTGTGTGTGTGTGCGTGTGCGTGTGCGTGTGCGTGCGCGTGTGTGCGTGTGCGTGCGTGCGCGCCGCGGCCGCCCAAGCGCATTGCCCGCCCGCGCTGAGCCCGCGCCCCCTCCCCCCGGCAGGTGTCAAGTGTTCTCGGAAGACGGCGGGGCTTATCATTAGGTCGGGCATGTCCTCCTACAGGAAGATTTTTGACGAGAAATCAAAAATACTTCAATAATATTCAACGATAATCAACACATGCGCAAAAAGTAGTCCCCTGAGATTTTTTGACTATTTTTGAATTTTCCTCCTGTAGAGGTACGTGCCCGATTTAAGCTTATCAGAAGTCCTCGCGCCCTCGGAAAAATTCTCTGGGCCTCCTCCGAGGACGGAGGCGGCTTCTCAGAAGACCGGGGCAGAGGCGCGGCCGCCTTCTGAGAAGGCCTGCCCCCTCTCACTTCCCCCCTGGGCTCGCCGCCGACTGCCGCTCCTCGAAACCCAGGCCTCCAACTTATTTAAAGCATCGACCTGTATCACCGTGGTGGTGGTTGCCCAACGTACCGTATACGCGGTTTAGAAGTACGCACCCCGAGTGGCTAAAGGGGAAGAAGCAATTCAGGCGAAATGGGCCCCGCCCACTTAGCAGAGCTATCTATTCCCATGACCGTCCGCGTCGACCCCGCTATAGCAACCCCCGCAGTGATCCAAGGAGGCGAACATTTTTGTCAACTTGATGCCCTCTAGGGTTGCCCCCTGGTTTCGGGTCTTAACTCAGCTCCCCAACGGCCGTTCGGGATGATCTGGGCACCCCTGGAACGCTCTCGGCGAGGCGCAGATGCCAGAACGCATCCCGAGGCAGGACCGTCTCCAAGAACCGCCGTAAACGCTCCAAAACGATAGGAACTAGCCCCAGGCGGTGGTCCACGCAGGCCCCATACATCGCCCTGGCGCGGTCCCGGAGATCCCGACACTTTCTTCGGGGCTGGCTTTTCACCTCGAAGCGCTTCTTGACGGTCCCTGGGCCCGGCGAGGGCCCCTCCAGAGGCCGAACATGGAAGAACACCCCCGCACTCCTCTTCCGAGACGCTGGAAGTCTGGGAGACAGGCCGCGCCCCCCCCCTCCCCCCCCCTGCCACCGCTCGGACGTCCACCCTCTGCGGATTTTTCGGCTTCGTGCGCTTCTGTTTGGCTCGATGATCCAGGATGCTCCTCGATGGCCCCCACCGAAGAAAAACATGTGCACCGCTCGGACGTGCCTTCCTCCGTGCGCTTTTCGGCTTCGCGCGCTTCTTGTTGGCTTTAGGTCGGGCGTGTCCCCCTACAGGCGGATCTTGGACGACAAATAGAAAAAAGACGCAGCAAGTGTACGAAATATTGCAACATAGTCGAAACATCGTCCCCTGAGTATTTTGTAAATATTCCTCCCCTAGAGGGACAGGCCCGACTTAATGTTGGCTCGATGGTGCCACCGAGGGGTGCTCCCCGCTGGCCCCCGGCCGAGAACAGCATGCACACTCCCGAGCGCTGCCGAGAGACCCCCCCCCCCGAGGGCCCGCCTAGCGGCAGCGCCCCCGAGGCGCTCGCCTGCGCGCCGCCGCGGAGAAAGCGCGCGTCGCCGGGCAGCACGGCGGCCTCCCGCGGGGCGGGGGGGGGGGGGGGGGGGGGGGGGGGGCACTTTGGGTCGGGCATGTCCCCCCACAGGCGGATGGTAGGCGAAAGTTATAAATAGTCAAAAGGTATCCCCGCCTAGCCAAACATAGTACGTAACAAACATCGCCCCCCTATTTTTTGGGGCTATTTTGGAACATTCCTCCTGTAGAGGGACATGCCCGACGTAAGGGTGCTTCTCGAGGTAGGGCCTCTCGAGGGCCCTCCGCGGTCCTTCGTTGGCGGCACGCCCGCGGGGGGGGGCTGGCCCGAGTGGGGGCGGCCTTCCCCGAGACCCTGGCGCTGGCTTTTTTCCCGACTATCCTGTGGTATTGGGTCCTCGTTTGAAGGGGCGGTCCCCGCGTTCCCGCCCTCCCTCTTTTCCTCCCTCTTTCCTTCCCTCCGCTTCCTCCCTCCTTCCCTCCCTCTTTCCTTCCTCCTTCCCTCCCTCCTCCTTCGTGGCCCCACAGGGAGCCTCACCGAAAGGCCCCGTGGCAGGGTCCGCAGGTGGTTCCGTCCGTGGAAGGGGTGCGCCGAAATTAAGGGGTGGAACTGCATGCGGAACTTGCCACTGGGGCCTTGGGTGGAGCACTCTACGGGGCCACCAAACGTGGAAGGGGTGCGCCGAAATGAAGGGGTGGAACTGCATGCGGAACCTGCCACTGGGACCCTGGGTAGAGCACTCTACGGGGCCACGAAACGTGTGAGGGGTATGCCGAAATGAGGTGGAACTGCATGCGGACCCTGCCACTGGGGCCTCGGGTGGAGCACCCTTTGGGGCCGCGGAACGTGTGAGGGGTGCGCCGAAATGAACTGGTGGAATTGCTTGCGGACCCTGCCACTGGGGCCTTCGGCGGAGCAACCTATGTGGCCACGAAACGTGTGAGGGGTGCGCCGAAATGGGGGGTGGAACTGCTTGCGGACCCTGCCACTGAGGCCTTCGGCGGAGCAACCTATGTGGCCACGAAACGTGTGAGGGGTGCGCCGAAATGGGGGGTGGAACTGCTTGCGGACCCTGCCACTGGGGCCTTGGGACGAGCACCCTTGTGTGGCCGCGGAACGTGCGAGGGGTGCGCCGAAGTGAAGGGGCGAAACTGCATGCGGACCCTGCCACTGGGACCTTCTGCGGAGCTCCCTTTAGGGCGAAACGTGTGAGGGGTGCGCCGAAATGGGGGTGGAACCGCACGCGGACCCTGCAACGGGGGCCTTCGGTGAAGCTCTCTGTGGGGCCACGCAGCGTGCGAGGGGTGTGCCGAAACTTTGTAAGAAACTTTCTTGGAAGCGCACCCCGCTCATGCACCACCCACATGTGGGCGCCGCCAAGAACAATCCATCAGCAATGGGCCACATACAGTTCGCAGGCTGTACACTCATGGAGGCGATACAGACAAAACAGGCGGGAAAAGGTGAAGAAATGCAAACGAGTTGGTGCTCTACGTTCTAGAGTTGTACAGCCAATCCGTATCATAAGGATGCGCAGTAAGGGTGCAAGCGCCTTGGAGGCCCATGTTGACGTTTTTTCGAACGAGGCTGGCCAGCGAAAGTCGCTAAGGATGGGCCGAAGGATGCAAGGGTACCCTTAAGAGAAGTGCCCATCCCTGCTATGCGGGTTGACTGTATGTGTGTATGTGCACACATTTTTATATGGATGCCTTCTTAATCTGGCTCTGGGGGCCATTGCCGAGCACCAGGACCGTCAAAAGCGACAACTGAGGAGGAAGAGCCTGTCCCAGAGAATGGGCTCAGAGCTCTGGGGCTCCACCACATGAAAAAGTCATGACGTCTGGGGTGACTGGATTTGGCCCTATTTTTAAGTCGGACATGTCCTCCTACAGGCGGATCTTAAAATAATAATCCAACATACTGTAAATGGAACGATCCCAAATAAACAAAAGAGCACGGACATCGTTTCCAGGTTTTTTGTTGTTTTTTTACTATTCTTGGATCTTCCTCCTGTAGAGGGACATGCCCGACTCAACCCTATCTGCTTCTTCTTGGGCCCTCGACGGCGCCCTCGTGGCCGCGGCAGCACGCCAGCGCGAAGAACCAGCCTCAGGGGAGGGGACCCGGGGAGGGGTCCCGGTCGCGGGGGCGAGGGGCGGTCTTCCAGGAAGGCAGGGGGGCTTTTGAGGAGCCATCGGGGGCTTGAAGGGAAGCTTCTGAGGTGAACGGCGACGGTAGGTGGGTATCGGCCCTTGGGCGGGGGGGGAAGATCGAGGTGGAATTTGCGATGTTAGAACGGCGATAAGCCCCCGACAGCGAATCCGCATAGTCCTCGGCTGGGCCATCGGGCCCCTTTCGGCCATCAGTGGGCAGCTGGGGGTCCATGCATCCCCCCCTGAGCCTGTCACCCCCCTAACAAGTTGTCCATGATGAGAAGGTGCGAGAGAGCTTTGAAACCGACAACGCAGTCGAGTGGATTTGTGCGACTTGACACTGCGTTCGCCCATGCGCTGCGCCATCTGATCGCGATGCGCACAGAGCTTGGCATGCTCCTTCCATCACTGCTGCCACTGCCGCAGCTTACCAGCCTCGAGCCATATCCCTGCCCCCGAGATGGGCGAGCACAGGGCGACGCGACAAACCTATAGGCACGTGCGCGCGGGATGCCGAGGGAACTCTCCTGGTCGGTACTGAGGCACCGTTGACTACCTACCAGGCCACCCCAACCCAACCCGAAGACCCGAATTTCGGGTTGGGGGGGGTAAGGGTTCCACATGTGTTTTTTCGATGTTTCCCGAACCCCCCCCCCACTAGAAATCGAGGGTAAATCTGAGCCTTCGGGTTGGGTTGGGGTGGTTTGGTGGGTGGTGAACAGTGATGCACGCCAAGAGGACAGGGGCACGCCTCTGGCTCGTGGACAGCACGGGCCCCCTCTCCACTCCCGCCGGAGCCTCCAGGTCCGCGCGCAGGCGGGCGCCGCCGTCGCCCTGGGGCACGCGCAGGCAGGCTCCCCGCCGCCGCCGCCGCTCGCCGGGTGGCCGCCACCGCGGCCGCCGTCGCCGTCGCCGCCGCCGCCGACGACGACGCTGCCGCCGGCTGCCGCGGCCGTCGCCGCCGCCGCTCGCTGGGTGCGAGCCGTCACCGCCGCCGCCGCCGCCGCCGCCGCGCACGCCGCAGGGCTTCAGAACCTCATGCCCAGACCAGATGCGAACACTCAGCTTGTCGACCCTGGGCGCCCTCCGCTCGGCACGGGGGGGGAGCGCTCGGCGCTCTAGACAGGCCCCGACACAAACAGCGGGGCCCCTCGAGACGAGGCCGCCAGGGCACCGCGAAGCCACATCCACCGATGGCGGATTCCGCAGCCAGAAGCGCATCCTGCGACAACCACGGTGGGCGACAGACGGACCACGCCTGGGTGGTGGAGCTGACGGAGAATGGGGCAGAAACAGACTGATGGTGGGCGTGCGCGTGCCTCATCTGCCCGAGCGGGCTCACTTGCGTGAATGATCTGCTGGTGGGACGTCCAGAACATAATATTGACGCGGGCGCATCAACGAGTGAGGGCCCCGTTAAACTAGAGGCCTCCCAGATGGGGTCGGAGTAGATGGGGTCGGAGGATCGCGCCGCATCGCCGATACATCGGCGATACATCGGCAACGCCAACGTGGAGAACATCGGGCTCCGCATCGAGCCGCATCGCCGATGCATCGACGGTACTGCGCGACCCTCCGACCCCATCAACTTGGGCCCCATCTAAGAGGCCTAGACAAACCCGACCCTCGGCGAAGGAGCCGTAAAACGCCGGCGAAAGCCTCGGCCGTTTCTCGGACAGGGCAGCCCCTGCCAGTCTGGGTGCCAGGCTGAACCTAAACTGTGCTTTTCGTTTTCGTTCTGTTTTCCGTTCTTCCTCGTTTTGCCTTCGTTTCGCCTCGAATGCAAAACACAACGAAAAACAAAACGGCCCACGAGATGGCCAAAACATCGTTTCGGTCCAGCCCTGCTGGGTGCCGCGACGCGGGGCAGGCAGGCTGCGCGGGCGCTCGGCCTGGCCTGTCCTTCTCTGTCTGGGCGAGGGGAGACCCCTCCACGGAGCAAAGCACGCGAGAATGGCCACAACCGACGGTGCTGCAGGGTGCTTCAGGGGCAACGTCGTCGTCGTCGTCGCCGTCGCCGTCGCCGTCGCCGTCGCCGTCGCCGTCTTCGTCGTCGTCGTCGCCGCCGCCGCCGCCGCCGCCGCCGTGCTGGCCAGGGTGGAACAGTGAGGACGGGGACTCGAACCAAGTGCCGCCGCCACGCGAAGCCAGGGAGGGCCCCACGGGCGGCACGCCACAAAAGGATCGGCACCCCGGATCCGTGTCGCGTCGGTGCGGCTGCCAGGGGCCCAGTCCTGGGGTGGTACGCGCGCGCGGAGGTGGGTGCCAGCAATACCAGCACCGCGTGCTATGAGGCCTGAACGCTGTCATATCTGTAGGAGATGTGCTGGGTGGAACCGCAAACGTGACGCAAACAGCTTGTCTGAGCCAGCGGCGAAGACAAAGACGCCAACGCAAACTGATGATGACGGCGAAGATGACGGCAATTTTGGACGCACGAAATGGGTACGGAAGAACTGGGAACGATGGTCAACAACACATGTTGACCAACACCGACAGCGGCCGCTGTTGGGCAGGCGGCATTCTGTCTCAAATGGACAACGTATGCGTCGACGCCGACAGCGAGCCCTGCACAAAACGAACAAGACATGCTGTCGGTCTTTGCGTCCATTCTTTCTGTACCATTTCGACCGTCCCGAGCAATGAGCACAAACAAATCAACACAAATCCCAGGACTCCCGACATTTTTACATTACATATGTTCTGGGTTGTCGTCTCCCTCTCCACTTCCATACTTTCCAGAGAACCGACTTTCTTGGTGTCTGTGTGTTTTTTCCCCTCCTGAGAAATGCAGGCCGGGGTAAAATACCATGACGGCGAACGTCACCTCTTGGACGAACGCTGGCCGCTCCTGGCATTGCGAACGCCTAGTCCGGTCACCACCTCCTCCTCCTCCTCCTCCTGTCCCTCGTTCTCCTTCTCCTCTTTTTCCTCGTTCTCCTCCTCCTCCTTCTCCTCCTCCTTCTCATTCTCCTCCTCCTCCTCCTCCTCCTCCTTCCCATCCCTCTCTTTCGAGGTGCCCGTCTGTCCTCTCGTTTGCGTCTCGGCGCGAGGCCGCGGGCTGCCTGTTACACTGCGCCCCTGGGCCCCACCAGCACAAAACTCCTCATCCCTGTCCTCGTCTCGCACCGCGGGTCGGCAGCACGGGCAGGTCGCTTAAGCTGCAGCCGCCAGGTACATCAGCTTGGTCGTAAGCGCCAGGCTGAAGCCGAAGCTCAACGAGCGCAGGGCTGCTAACGCCGCGTTGAACTGAATGGCGTAGAGAACAATGAACAGCCCTCTGAATACAAGCCATGCGGTCGCAAACAAGCTCACAGTGTCCTTCGCAACGCCTGCCTGCAGTGCAGCAAGTACGGCCGCCGCGAAGAGAGGGAACCCCTCCTGCATGTTCTTCTCCGCGCCTATCAACCGAGCGTACGCAGGATATGTTGCGGCCAACATGTCAGACTGCTTGCGAGGAGCCAAATTGTCAATCTTGCCCGCAGTGAGGTATCCCTTGTAGATTAGGCAGATCCCGAACGGAAGGTACACGAGCGCCACGCCGTACACGAGAGACAGATACGGCGAGGCCCGAAACGGTATCGGGGACATCACGCCAGCCACGAGCCACTCGGGCAAGAAAGTGCCACACAGCGCCACCACGACAGGGATCATGCTCGCCGCCGCAGAGCAGGACTGGATGCCTGGAGCCAGCGGCAACCGATCGACTCGCCGACCCCGTTGGGTCCAGCGCGGGAGATCTCTGCCACTCCCCCGACTCCTCCCCTGTGACTCGCTTTGTTGGTTTGGGTGCACGGGACCCAGGCTGGACGGTTTCCCCCGGGGCCGTAGGCGACGCGAGGAGGAGGAGGAGGACGAGGAGGAGGAGTAGATGGATGAGGAGGAGGAGGTGGAGGAGGGGGAGGGGGAGGAGGAGGAGGAGGAGGAGGAGGAGGAGGAGGAGGAGGAGGAGGAGGAGGAGGAGGAGGACGAGGAGGACGAGGAGGAGGAGGAGGTCGAGGAAGAGGAGGAGGAGGCCCAGACCCCCGACGTCATGACTTTTCCATGACGTGCCCCCTCAAAGTCGCGACCAACCATCGGCGGTGGACAAACCTCCCTTTAGTGAACCACCCTTTAATGAAAACCTCCTAGGACCGAAACCGACGGACCCGGACCCGCACAAATGACGGCCGCGACGCCCTCTCGCGAACCGAAAACGGCCAATTCGCTAATCGACGTGTCAGGGTAGGAGGTCTATCAACCTCCGACACCATTCCCAAGACGGATGTTTCATCCACAGCCGTCTTTTGATGGCCTCAGGGCCTGGCGAAGGGCCCCCAGAAGGCCGACAACTGTGAAACAAACGCCTTGTTTTTTCTGCAATCGGCTACACGCAAGATGAGCATCGTGTAACCGATCCCCATCCCCACCAGCGTGGGCTGGGCCCCACTGGCCGATTTACCCCCCCTAGCTTGGGATATATGCCGTTCCCTTCGGGTTTCGATGGGTGTGTCCCCAACTGGGGTGGTAATTAGGTGGGGGTCTCGAAGGGGATGGGGATGGGGATGGGGGTCGGTTAAACGATACTGACAAGAGTGACCTTCGGCACGAATGACCTTTGGTGCGCGGCGAAACGGGGGACGCGGGGTGGCCAAACCTGGACGCACAAGCCGCTGCTACCGCTTCGCGCTCAGCGATCGGGCGACCCCACTGGGCCCGCACCAAAAGTCACTCCAGCGAAAATAGGCCCTCGGCGTGCGTGCCAGGACGCTTCCCTCGGGCGCCCGCAGGCGCCTGCCAGAACGTTTCCTTGGGCAGCCCGAAGCTACCTGCCAGGACGCTTCGCCGAGGCGACTAGAGGTGCCTGCCAAGGCGCTTCTACAGGGCGCCCGAAGGTCACTCTTACGTCTAGTCGATGTATGGCATTGGATGTCTGGGGGGTGCCGCCCCGGGCCTTCCCATGGCGCCCACCCGCGCGGCTCAACAGCCCAGGGGGCTCCAAGGATGACGAAGGCAGCCCCGACGAGCCCCAAGAGGCCCCCAAAGAGCCCCCGCGACGTGCTCGAGAGGCCCAAGATGGCCTCTGAGGATGTGTATGGGGTTGAAGTACAAGGGTACAGAACCCCTGATCCGTTGGTAGAGGGAAGGAGGGATAGATGGATGGCTTTCCCTCCTGCACGATCGAAGGTCTGATCGATCTGTCCCAATACCTGAGCCCAAACGGCCAGGCGCAGGAGAGGTGAGGATAAGGAGTATTATATGAGGGTATTACACGGGTTCTATTCACAGAGGATACTAAGAGCTTCTCAAGGCGGCCCAGGAGGAGGTGAGAGCCCTGAGACGGCCCCCCGAGAAGCTCTGCGGGGCCTGCGACGGCCCGCGAGGCCGCCAAAAGACGGCCCCGACGGCCCCCATGAGGTCGCTGAGCGGCTCCGCGCTTCCAAAAGGCATCCATAGGCCCCGTAGATGGCCTCCACTGAAGCCCAAGATCGCCCGGGAGGGCCCCGAAGCAGCCCAAGAGGAGCGCTTCAAGACGGCCCCGAGAAGGCCTGCGACACGGCTTCAGATAGCTCCGAGACGGCCCAAGAGCGCCCCAAGATGGCAGGGCAGGTCCAGAAGAAGGTCCCAAGGTGCCCAGGTCCCCAAGAACTAGTGAAGACGGTCAGGTCCCAGTGACAGGCACAATATGAAGGAGGAGGAGGAGGAGAAGGAGGAGGAGGAGGAGGAGGAGAAGGGGAAGGAGAAGGAGAAGGAGAAGGAGGAGGAGAAGGAGAAGGAGAAGGAGGAGGAGGAGGAGGAGGAGGAGGAGGAGGAGGAGGAGGAGGGAGGATGGAGAAGGATGATGATGCTGCTGATGATTAGGATGCTGATGACGAAGATGCTGCTGCTGATGATGATGGTGATTCTGATGATAGTGATGATGGAGAAGGATGGTGCTGCTGCTGATGATGATGTTGCTGATGGCGGTGGTGATGGCGATACTGATGATGATGCTGCTGCTGCTAATGATGATGAAGAGGAGGACGAGGAGAAAGAGGAGACAACACGAATTTACGCACGAGTCGACGGAGTTTCTATTCAGTAGCTGGGGCGAAGGCTCAAGAGGGAGGTGGTGGAAGAGCACGAGGAAGAGGAATGGAAAGGGGAGGAGCACGACGAAGGGGGGACGGGAGGACGAGGACGAGGAGGAGCCTGGAGGCAGAGCGACTAGAAAGGAAGGCACTGAGGATGAGGGTGGTGATAGTGATGGTTGTGATATCAGGCATGATGATGCTGATGATGATGATGATGATGATGAGGAGGAGGAGGAGGAGGATGACGGTGTGGTGATGATGATTCTTGTGATGGTGATGGTGATGATGTTGATGAGGAGAAGAAGGAGGATGACGATCATTAAGAAGCATATGCAACTGACTCTGGTCATGTTGACGCTGATGTTGATGCAGATTATGATGTCGAGTAACGCGAGGAAGATGACGATGATAAGCAGTAGGACGACGACGACGGAGGACAAACACATGCAATAATGACGATGATGATGATGATGATGATGACGATGAAGATGATGATGATGTTGATGATGATGATGATGATGATGATGATGCTGATGATGATGATGATGATGATGGGAAAACGGAAGAAGGCCGGCGTGGCAAGACTAAGGGCGATGATGAGGCACGAGGGAAGTGCGGACGAGGAGGATGAGGAGGAAGAGGAGGACGAGAAGGACCACAATGGGGCAGACGGAGTAGGAGTAGCAGGAGAAAGAGAAGGAGGAGGAGGACGAGCAGGAGGAGGAGGAGGAAAAACAAGAGGAGGGCGAAGCTCTCGCCTGGCATCCGTTATGGCTAGGATGCTTGCGACCGCTGAGTGGACGGGAGGCCCCCCCTGCCCTGGAAAGCGGCGAGCACCCACGGTCGGGCCACGACACAGTCGGCTCACGCCAGGGTGACCCTGGGCAGGAAGTGACCTTCTCGGCGGCGAGCCCAAGGGGGACGCGAGAGGGGGCGGGCCTTCGCAGAAGACGGCGGGGCTTCTGAGGAGGCCTGCCCCCTCGCTCTCCCCCCAGCAGGCTCGCCGCCGCCCTGCGGTGCCTGGCTTCGGGTGGGCGCGAGGGGGGCAACTCCAGTCCCCGTGGGCCCGCACCGAGGAGGCTCGGGTGTTGCCAGACGTGTCCATGGCCCGAGGGAGGCCTCAGGATCCCCAGGGAGGCCCCCGCGGCCGCCATAGCACCCCCCACGAGGCCCAGCGGGCCCCATGGGGCTTCAACAGAGGAGCGAAACGCGACACCTCCCGGCAACCAACGAAAAGTCATTCACTGACGCGTAACTGGCACAGGAGCAGACAAGGACAAGGCGCTGGTGCGTGGTCGAAGACTCCCAGACCACATCTGTAGCATGTGTGAAACCATCGTGATGTAATGCCCCCTGACCGCCGTGACGGAGCACTTCACGTCTGCCCGCCCTTTTCCCAACTTTTCCGCCATTGCAGACGACCCGCGTGTGCCCTGGAATGGGCACCGACGGCCCAAGCACGTGTCGCCCACTCGTGCAACAGTGTGCCCAGAGAAGGCTCCCAACCGGCCCGCGAAGAGAGCCCCCGAGGGCCCGACCAGGCCTCCCAGGCGGCCCCAGACAGCTCAGAAGGGAGGGCTTCAAGAGGACCAGCATACGGTCAACACCACTTGGAAGCTATAAGTTGTTTGAGGGCTCTCGGCCCCGAAACTTCCAAGCTCGACACGGCTCGACGGCGGCATCGGACGAGCCGAGGATCGCCCCATGACAATCCAGGAGGGATCCGGCATGGTGCCCCCCAAGACGGCCGCGAATTTGCGCAGACGGCCCAAGAGGGCATGACGTTGGCCGCAACGATGGCCCAAACACAACCCCCCCAAGTCCCATGGAATTCCCAGTAACAAGGAGGGGGAGGGTAAGAGCAAAAAGGACATCAGGAGGAAAAGGAGAACGTCGACGCGGAGCCAGGAGCGGAGCGGACAAGGAAGCAGGAGGAGGCGGAGGAGGAGAAGAAGCAGAAGGAGGAGGAGGAGGCGGAGCAGGAAGAGAGAGAGGAGGACGTGGACGAGGGGACGCGGAGGAGAAGGATGAGGAGAAGAACGATGATGACCTGGACCAGGGAACGCGAAGGAGAAAGATGAGGAGGGGAGGAGGGGGACGAGGTGGGGGAGGAGGATAAGGATAATGATAATGAGGATGAGGAGGAGAAAGAGGAGGATGATGAGGATGAGGCGGAGCGGGGCGATAGCATGTCAATGATGATGCTGCTGCTGATGCTGATGGTGATGATGCTGATTCGGATGCTGCCGAGGATTATGCTCATGACGATGATGATGATGCTGATGATGCTGATGATGATGATGATGATGATCTTGATGCTTCTGCTGCTGATGATGATGCTGACGATGGTTACGAGAATACGGATGCTGAATATGATGATGATGATGTCGATGAAGATGACGATGGTGATGTTGATGATGTTAATGATGCTGATGATGATGCTGATGATGCTGCTGATGATGCTGATGGCGATGACGATGCCAGTGGCTATGATGATGATACTGGTGCTGATGATGATGGTGATGCTGCTGCTAATGATGATGATGATACTGATGATGGCAGTGATGATGACGATGACGATGATGATGCCGATGATGAAGA